TATCCATCAATTTTTGCCGAGTGGACAAAGACGCGTGCGGCCTAGCATTGTCCTGCTGGAAAATATCAGCTTTACGATTGACCAATTCTGGTCGCTTTTCCTTGACCGCTGCATTCAATTTGTCCAGTTGCTAACATTCACGGATAATAAAAAATATAACATAATAATAATAATTTTATAATATAACATTTACGGATATCATAAAAATGGGAGTGAGAGACATCTATAACTGAAATCGGCAATTACTTAGTTGCCAACCTAATACAATATTGCGTAAAATTATTATTTCACTTATTTTTTGGTTCGTTTATTAGCAGCATTGTAAGTAGTTTATAAATAATCTAGAAGCAGCACGTTCTTGATTATCTAGATTTACTATTGACACGGGCTATTCTCGCGCTAAATCTCTGCGCATCGATTAATTGCCGAGGATTCTGACGTTTGTCTTTTTACAGGACCACCTTCAAAGACTTGTGGGATAAGCGTTTCGGTTAATTCGAACTTCTCCTGTGACCACCGAGACTCGATGGAAGTTCCTTGCGCAACATGACAAAGAATGATAACGTTCTGCGAAAAGACAGCGATATACACTGCCCCGTTGTTACTCCTCAATGAATGCTTGTGCATATAAAATTCCATTGAAGTTTCGTTCGATAACACAACCATGTAATTAAATACAGATATACATATACTTCTAATAAAGAAAGCTTTAACTTCAGAAAATCTATTTTCTACGATCTTCCTCCTTCTGCCATTGACCGGTGAACTTGGGAACAAAGGGCCTTATTCATTTAACTCCGAATACACATTGTACACCAAGTGTTATATTTCCCGATGACGTAGTCGAAGCAAATAACATGACAGTGACTGAGTAAACGTACAATAATGCGAAAGTTTAAATAACAGACTTCGATATGGTTATGTCAATGTTTCTTGATAGTTGTTGTGCATACAGAGTGTCCCAAAAATGTCTCGCAATCCGAAAGTGGCGGGTTCCTCAGGCCATTTGAGACAACTTTTTCCTTTAAAAATGTAAGTTATTAACGAAAAACAGTGACCAATGAGAGGCGAGCTCGGCTGGCGCGAGGCGACCGAGCCAATGAGCGGAACCGGGCTTCGTGCGCTGGTTGGCTGGGCCACCTCACGTCGGCCGTACTCGATTCTTATTGGTCACTGTTTTTCGTTAATAACTCGTTAACGGTGGCTCGGAGAACATTTTTGTAAAGGAAGAAGTTGCTTCAAATGATCTGAGGAACCCGCCATTTCCGGATTACGAGACATTTTTAGGACACCCTATATATATATACATATACTTCTCGAACACTATTCTGCATTTTTTCATATTTTTTCATAAGGAATGGAAATGAAATAATGGAACGAAACATAGGGACTAAACAATCTTTTTTGTGCTGAGTTCTAGTGTGCAAAAGTTGCCTACTATTGTAATACGTAAGCTGTTAAAATTGGAATGTGATTATTAAATTTTTTGAGATATTCAAGCTTTATTTTGATTGATTTTACGAAGATTACTTGATTTTTCAGAAACTTAGCATCTGTTTTTAAGCAATTTTTCTTACTATAAGTAATCGCTCTTGTAATTTTGGTATATTTACTGCAAAAGAATATGTAATGAAACAATCTCGATTTGCACGATTACTGATCGAATCGTAAAAGATTGCAGCTGCTTGTAATCAAAGATTATTGAATTTTTACAAAACAACGAAGATGGATAAATAGTATAATAAAGGTTAACTCTGATGGTTACTACGAATATAATTTATTAAATAATTTACGCTAACATGAAGTACGATAGAAACGGAAATTATTTTTCATTCAATCAAACAGCTAACAACGGAGGTTATTTTCGGATAATAATTTATTCATTTAAATAGTTATTTTTCATGTAATCGTCTTCGTACTCAGAAATGTTTTATCACTGTTGACGTCATATATTCATTCTTCCCTCAGAAAGTTTCTGATGTTATCTTTTTTACAAGTATATTCAGGCGGGCAACCGTCCGTTACACCGTGTTCAATGGCCTTCCGGAATTCCACCATTGTTTTTTCGTACTTGCCCTCTATGGAGGGTATTCTGCAACATAATACGAGTAAATGGTAATTTAACCCTTTGCACTCCGCTGTCCCCTCTCGTGGGACATTAAAGTTTATTAGTGATTACGGGGAATTCAGTTATTTCAGCGCAACTTTTTGAGACATGCATGTTTCCCTGAAGTTTTCTCTTGAAATGGCACAAGAAATCAAATCAAAATATAGTAAAATTACTGAGATATATACAAGAAATGACAGCGAGTTTTGACGAGAACTTGAGAGGCGTACTCACGACGGTCCGAGCACTTCAAAGGCGCCACTTGAAAAGAGCGATAAGGCAAGTTTGTAGAGGAAAGATCGGTACGCGAACATAGCACGCACTGTATAGTGAGATTTATAATCATAAAATCTGGAGGAAAAGATTTTCAAAGCTGAACTCAGTCTGGTTTGAAGCGTCGAGCGGTATAGATAGATCTAACGAGTGAGAAAATCGGAAAAGTGATTCTTCTCTTGGTAAATAAATTGTTTGGTAAAAGTTTTTTTGGTAAATATCATCTTGTGAGTTAGTAATAACAATTAGAAATTTTCAACCTATGTATTTATTCATATTTTTTATTAGAACAATGGCAAAACGTTCAAACACGAATGAGTCTCATGACACAAGTAGTAGCGAAGATGAGCTCCAGATAGACGTTTATACAAATATGTTAGAAAGACTTTAACTGTAGAAGGTTTTCTTCTACAGTTAGTCTATCGTTTTGATAGCAGCGATAGTGATATCGTCCAAGCAACAAGGCGACGAGAGAAAGAGTTCGCATAGATAGCGATTACAACAACAAAACAAAATTA